GGGATGAGATGTTATCCTCAGAATAGCAGGAACCATGTAGAACCATCTACTTATGCCCAATCAGGGAGTCCAAGAGTAAAGAAACAAAGAAACAATGATCCTTTGCCTTAGCGGAGAAAGGATGGGAGGTACAGAAATAAATGGAGGCCTAAAGCACTACTCTACAGTCCAGGCTTGATGAACTGAGCCTGCAAAGCAGGACTGATGGATGTATATCATTATGCCTGCATATGCAAGGCCACACTCCCATTTCATACCAGTAGCAAGAGGATAATGAATGGAAGAAGGTCAACAAATTTTTTTCAATAAATCCCCCTTCCACCTTCATCCTTTATAATTTCTAGGGCATAAGATTGAAACTGCATACACAAAAGCCTTATCTCAATGTCCTTTAGTAAGTGGAAAGCTGTAGCCGCAATGGCAAAGGTAACAAACTACCAATCAGGTCAGAAAAGAAATGTTCTTTTTGAGCTACAGATAAGTGACTTGTGATACCCAGGTTGGACTAATTTAGCTAATTCTATATTACTAATTACATGTAAGGTTTTGCTTAGAGGAAATGTTTTGTCAGACAGAGATACTTTCAAACACAAGTGATGCACTTTCCTTATTCCTTTACTATCTACATTGACAAGACTTTAAAGGGCAGTGGACTTTATTTAATGTGCTGAAGGACGTTATTTGGCTGTCAAAGTTTTACAGCTCTATTTTCAATGGACTCAATTATGCACTGAACACAAACATCAGCCTCCTTTTATTGAGTGCTTACTTGGTGCCAAGAAATTTAACCAACAATTTATTTTGCAAACACTTAAACAGGATCATGTACCAGATGCAGTTTTAAGTACTCTGCAAATATTAATTCAAGTAACAACCACCATGAGATATGAGCCTGTGCCATTTTCCTTTTACAGATAAGAAACTGCAAACAGGGGATTGAGAAAATGTCTCCAAAGTTAGTAAGCTAGCAAGGGGCATGCCGGGATTCATACCCAAGTGGACTGCTTATTACATATGATACTGTATTGCCTCCTTGTCTTAAACAATCATTAATCTCTACACCCTGTCCCTGAAAAACAATAATTCACCAGAGTCTGTACTGCACTGCCTGTTACCAGGCTCAGCACTCCACACCAAGTCTTGTTTGAATTTTAATAATTAAAAAGAGATTTATTTTTACAATTTTTAACTATTGGGCATGTGTGCATGCGTGCATGAGTTGTGTGCAGTGTCTGCAGAGTCCAGAAGAGGATGCTGCATCTCTTGGGGCTGGTTACACACAGTTGTGAGTCACTTTGTGGGTGCTGGGAACTGAACTTGTATCCCTGGAGAAACATTATGAGCTCTTCACTGCTGAGCATCTCTCCAACTCTGAGTTCTAGTTATTTTCTGAGAACTTCTTCCAAGTAATTAATATATTTGAATCACCAGTTATTTATTATAAAACTTTCTCAAGATGTAAAAGTTGGAGAATAAAACTAAAGATAACTCACCTTAACACATCATTAAATCACTATAAGCTAAAACCGTCAAGATGTTGAGGCAGAAACAGTGCTGCAGTATGGGACCTCCTGAAATGTCCTAAACTCCAATTTCATGAAAAGTGGAGGTCTCATGATTGAGACAACCTGAACACAGCTGCAGGTGGACCCCTGGCTCTGCACTGTTGAGTTATTACTGCAGGAAGCATAAGCTAAAAATCAATCTCAGAGCCATGCTTCTGTATTTATGAAAACCAACCAAGATTTACACTTCTATTTGTCTTTTAAATATAGGCACATTTTACATGAAAATCTGATTTTGATTTGCCTTTTCAACTTTAATATAGGCAGCTTAAAAACGTCACTTTTAACAAATTAGAGAGATATAAGCAAAAGAAGCAGGGGAAAAGTTAATACCTTGAGCAATAATTCTGACCTTTTTTTAAAAAAACTTTTGATTTCTTTACATGGAGCCCCACAGGCCAAGTGTGGTAGATCTCTTTAAAAGCCAAGAATTCTAAGATATCAAAAAATTATGTTCTTAAAGGTAAGCAGAGCCACCTGAAGCTGTAAGTTCTATTGTTTGGTGGGGGATCATGTAAAGACAAGCTTCTAATCTGGCCTTTACTTTCTGGTCCACTCAGCTCCTGCCAGTGATAGAGCAGTGCATCTGAGTCCTCACTAGAGAAACTTCTTTCTACAGAGACCACACCTGGTCATGTGTGGAGGATAAGACTGCTGTTATCCAGCCCTAAGTGGGGCGGCTATACCACACCACCTCCCCTCAAGGCTCAAGGATCATCCTGGAAGGGAGGAGGGATTGTAAGAGTCAGTGGTAGTAGACCTGTGTAGCAACAGTACTTGCTGGGCATGACAGTACTGTTACACACATGAACTCACAGAGGCTATTACTTCTTGCACAAGACCTGTACATGATCAAGCAAGCCAAAATCCAAGCATGCACAGGGGAGGGGACTCATGAAGTTCCATTTCTAGCAGGAGTTTTAGCAAGTGATGGCTGCCAGGGGAGGTAGAGTTAGTGTTCTTCAGGGATATACAGGTTCTGAAAGGCTATCACGTTCCAATAGAGAAGCCCACGTGTACATAGGCAGCAGTAGGTGCACTCAGTGAGAAAAAAAATAACATGATTGGGAGGGAAACATGAGTGTTAGATTTGATCAAGACGCATTGTAAGTATTATGGAATTCTCAAACAGTTACAACCCCTAAAGATACTCAAGAGAAATTCTTTTAAAAAAATAGTCCAAACTTTACAACACATGGAGTCCTTCATGATCTATCCTGCCTGACCACCTGACCAATTCAGGCTCTTTTCTATCATTTTCACTGGCACTTGGCAGAGCTCCCTAGCTGGAGCCTCTAGCTGCCTGAGGTACTCTGGAGTTCGCAGGCTAGTGGAACACAAAATTCACAGTGATTCCACTTGAGGACTGACACATAATGCTTGGAAAGAACAAATGAGCAGCCAGAGAGATCGAACTTTGAATTGTGGAGCTGCTGCTGATTATCTGTGTTGCCTTAGCAAGTTATTTGACCTTCTTGCTTTTGGTTTTCCCATTAAAAAACAAAATAAAACAAACAAACAAAAACCCCAGTGACAGCTATGCAGCTTCCAAGTGTACGGTGAAAATGAATGACTAAGAACTCAGCAGGGTACCTGAAAAGAGCAAGGGCTGAATTCAATGGTATTTGTCACTATCTGAACCACAGGGAACAATTCTAGATACCAGACATTTTACCTGTCTTCTATATAGTTAAGGAAGCCTTGCAGCTTCTTTATTCAAAAGGAAAAATACTTTAAAGAAGAAAATGAAAAACAAAATAAAAAACTCAATCCAGAACTAAATTAGAGAAGGTTGGCAAAAATAAGTAAAATGAATGAGACCAAACAGAAAGGCCCCTCCCACCAAAAAAACTGATTAAAGTATATGTGGGGAAATCCCAGAAATGAAAGTAGTTAACACATAAAAGACTAAAACATAAACCAACAACCCTTTACAAAAACACTGTTACTATATATTGCATTTTTACAACAAAAAGAACAGCCCCAAGACTATTCTACAGTCTCCTGTGTTCAGCTCTCATGCTCCCAAGCCATCTCCATCTCCACACTATTGCCAATTTGCTGATATGCACAGTAAATTTCGCTGCCCCAATTCCACTTCACTCAGATCCATACTGTAAACCTCAACAGCTCTGATTCCCAATAACTATAAAACTGTCGCTCAAATCTCTAACAAGGTATTCAAGACCGCTTCCTACTCTGCTGGCCTAAGCTGCTGCTCCTCTATTGCTCCCTAAGCTAAGCTATGATCTTCACTATCCCAGTCTCCGTCTGCCTGACGATGGTATCTCCTTCTGTATTTTTGGCAAGCAGTTAACTCATCTCTCAAGTGTAAGTTCAAACACTTCCTGGTCTGAGACATCCCCCTGGCTCCTCTGGCTGACTGATGTCCCTGTCATTTATGTTTCTGCTAAAGTTGGTGCACAGTTTCACCCTTGTACTGTGGTGTGGGGGTACCCAACCCAAGGCCTTACATGCCAAGCAAATGCTCTCTCACTGAACTCTATATAGCCCCAGCTCTATACATACCATTTTTCTGTATGTTTACAACTGAAGGTATAATTGACAAATAAAAACCACACAATGTGAAGTTTTTGTATATATATATGCTGTGAAATAATTTATACTTATCACATTATATTTAGCATAGCCCAATATCTGGCAAATATTTTACCACATATGAGTGAGTTTTGACTATGTTAATTAAAAAAATTCATATTTTCAACTTTAGTTCCAGAATTTGGGAAAGAGGGGATGGCAGATCTCTGTGAGTTCAAGGACAGACTGCTCTACATATTGAGTTCCAGATCCAAAAAGCCAAGATTTAAAAAAACAAAACAAAACAAAACAAGAAACTCACATTATGAAATTAATTTTTTATAATTAAGCTGGATATGGTGATACTCTCAGAACTTGGGAAGCAAAGGTAGGAGGAATATATGGTGACCTGGGCTACATGAGATCCTACTCTCCTCATACACACAAAGAAAAGAGCAGGAAAGAAAACAGCACACACGCACATGCACACACACACAGAAACACGTGCATGTCATATGTCTCTGTGTGATGCTCTCACTCTGCTTCCATCACTTCCCTTGTCTTTTCTGTTTGCGCCCTCACTATGGCCATCAGCATTACGAGGAGCCAGTCAGAGCACCAGCAAACAGCACTCTTGCCCTCTACAGCCCTCCAATCGGTCTCATATTTGACCAACAACCTATTCTTCTAAGAAATCTGGATGCATCTCAGACCCATTACCACAGCCCTGCCATTGTGTACATTAATAGGGAAGAAATTTTCTTTCTTACAGTCACACACAGAACAAAGAGGTAAGTACATCTTGCTAAAGCCTGACTCTGCCTGCAGGGCTCTTTTCACACACTCAAGACAATGGCTCTCAGCTGATCATTTCCCAGGCAGTTGCATCCCAGTTACCTGCTATTTTGATATTCATGTTGTTATCCAGCAGGAGATTTTCAGCCTTCAGGTCACGATGTACAATTTTCCGGCCATGGCAGTAATCAACAGCAGACAGAATTTGCCAGAATTTTCTCCTAGCTTCAGATTCATTTAACCGGCCATGATTAGCAAGATAATCTGTAAAAGAAGAGAACATTTAGAATTATTCACCAAAATAAAATAACCTCAATAGAAGCAGTCAAGAAAATTTTGACAGTTTTTTAAAATGAAAAATTAATGTTCTAATAACACAAATAATATGATATTCAAGTTTTTTGCCTTTGGAGAAGTAATCTCAACCATATTTCACAGGTTCTACATAAATTACAAGAGCCTGATATCAGATAACAGCTAGGTGTGACACAATATTCACACCATACCTCAAACTAAGTTTTATTTTATCTTCTTGCCTGTGTACTCTCTGCTAATCTGCGGAAAATACATTGCTCCTTCACATCATATTTAAATACATAAAATTCTTGCCAGGCAAAGAACATGAACGGATTTTCTGAGAAGGGACATCATAAGCAGTACTTTCATGTGAAACCTAGAAGTAGCTGCAATAATTCAAATCCTAGTCTGTTGAAAGAAACAATTCTGATCCGCTCACAAGTGACACACCTGCTTTCTGAGTCACAACCATGATAAATGACTGTAAGCCACAGCTGTAAGACAGTATACTTTGCAAGATACATTAGCTTCCTTGTAGTGTTACAATCTTTATTAAAGCAGTTTGACTGAAAATTAATTGTACACCAACTTTATTCATGATGTCAGTAAAACTAAATGCTACAATTTGACCTGCTGAATGCCGTCTGTAATATTTTAGAAGGAGGGGATCAACATAAATCTTGAAAAAATTATTTAAGGTAATTTTTTTAAGTAAAGAATTATATTAGTGACTGACTGTGATGAAACACTATGACCAAAAGCAACCTGGGGAAAAAAGGGTTTATTTGGATTACATATCCTGACTCATAGTCCACCGAGGGAAACCAAGGCAGGATCTCAAATAGGGCAGGAACCTGGAGGCAGGAGCTGATGCAGAGGTCACGGGAGAGAGTTACTTACAGGCTTGCTCAGCCTGCTTTCTTATAGCACCCAGGACCACCATCCCCACCCCATCACTAATTAAGAAAATGCTCTACAATCTTGTCTACAGCCAGGTCTTATGGTGGCAATTTCTCAGTTGAGGTTCCCTCCCCCCAGATTACTATAGTTTGTGTCAACCTGTCATAAATCTAGCCAGCACAGTAATAATATTCTGCTATTTTCACACATTTCTCTGCCGTAATCTCCATGGTTTACTTTTTTTTAAAGTTCATGCCTTTGATCCATTACCTTCCAAATACTGTGTTTCTTTTTAGAATTTATGTAAGACTTCACAGTTTACAAAGGATATTGATGCCACTGTATTTCATATCCTACAAATCCTTATGATATCTTTTTCTAATTTTCATATTATGGGTAAGAAAGCTGAAGATAAATAGAATGCAGCAATTTAGCGGAATTAATATAACTTTTAAATAATTAGTTGTTTAGGACCAGAACCTGGGACTGAATTATTTTATCATCTCTTATAGACTCTTACTGAAATCCGAAACAATCCTTTTAGAATCTTGCTCAAGTGTCACTTGGCTCTTGGTAGTCTTGTATCATTTCAAGAAAAAGAATTTCTCTTCTTTGAATCTTAGTTACTTGTCTATTTTGCTGTGAAGAGACACCAAGATCAAGGAAATTTATACAAGAAAGTAATTGGGAACTTGCTTACAGTTTTAGAGGATGAGTTTGCTGGCATCTTGGTCTCTCTCTACTCTGCCCTTCTTTCTCCCTGTGTTCAGTTTGGCTTTCCCGCCAGCTATAGACCAAAGCAGCTTTTATCATCAACCAACAAGAGCAATATATAGTCACAGTGTACAGAAGGGTTATCCCACAGCAGCATGTAGTTGTTACTTATTTATTATCATGGTCAGGTTTTCTTGTCTCGGCCAGTGAAAATAAATGCATCACACTGTCCATCCTCTACCCCAGGCAAGTGACCTGCCCCTGAGTTACATTTTCCATTCCGCTTCACACTAGCTTTTAACCCAACTACAGAAAAAATTATACCTTCACTGTTTCCTGGCACAGTAAAAGTCATCCACATTTATCTTAAACCTCAGTCAGCCATTTTTTGAGAGCTGCGGTGTTTTCCTGGGAAATTGTACTGGTGCACTTACTAGTAATGGGTCAGCAATCACTTCCATTGCCTTTACAGAGACACAGCTAGAGTATGTTTTCAAGCATTCGGAATGGCTTCTCTGAAATTTTACTTTGAATATATAAAACACCTGGTACTTAGTATGAGGTCAACATTAAAACTAGATGATATGACATAAGCAGAAGTCTTTTATCCATAATCAGAAGGTTCCCCTCCTCTGTCTATACATAACTTGTTGGGTTTGGTTTCTTTTGATGTTTCAATTTTTTAATAAAAATGCCCATAATTATCTTTTCCCCACTTTATACGTAAGAATATTTACTTTCCCTTTAAACATCACAGGAAGTTCCCTTTTCCTTTAGTTTGTTGTAGACATTCCTAATATTTAATTTAATTGTGTAAAACTGAGGGCTCAGACAGGGTGAATTGGCATTTACCTCTGTCCCCAGCTCTACAAGGCAGGATCAGGAAGATAAGGAAATAAGTTCAAGGCCAGGCTTGGTTATATGGTTATATGAGACTCTGTCTCAACATCAACCAACACTCTCTCAAAAACAAGGGGGAGGGTTGTTCAGGATCCAGGCTGCCAGAATTCAAAATCTGTCACAGTGCTGCCCATGTGATCTTAAGCAAAACCCAATCCCTACAAAGCTTTATTTGCTATCCAAAAATGAGGATCAGAAGAACTCACAGAGATCATCCTGCCTCTGCCTCCCGAGTGCTGGGATTAAAGGCGTGCGCCACCAATGCCCGGCTCATAAGAGAATTCTTATGAGGTTAAAAACCAACAACAACCTTCAATTTAAATGGAGAAAACCTTGGCAAAGATTCTGACACATAGAAGTTCTCAAAGAAGGTATTATTCCAATGGTAATTTACTACTGTTGTTGCTATTCCACTACCAGCGCTGACTCAGGCTACCTTCCTTTTTCTATCTCCCTTTTCTATCCATCTGCCTCCTGTGATGTGGTCTCTATGCCTCACACCTCACTGAAATTGCTTTAGAGTCAAGGGTAACTCCCCTAGGTTCAACCTATGACCTTTCTCAGTTCTCAACTTTTAAGATCTTTCAATTATATTAACACTTAGCTGGTCTCCAACTTAAATATCCCTGCCTACTGGTTCTGTAATTTCTTGGTTTTACTTGCTCTTACTCTTTTCTTTTCTAGTTCTTACTTTTTTTTTCAAAATTACAAAAAGCTACTGCATTATATTACATTCTGGGTCTTCACCTCTTTCTTCTTCTGCCTCTAACTCCTGATAGCTGGGATTGCTCTTTCTTTTTTTTAAAAAAAATGTTTTCAAAGTTCATCCCAGTCTAGTATACTATTTTGGAATTTGTTTTTTAAAAAATTATTTTTATTTTCTGTGTGTGCCCCCACAGAGGCCAGAAGAGGGTATCAAATACTCTAAAAATGAAATTATGGCTGTCATCTGCCACGTGGGTGCTAGCAACACCAAAGCCAGTTCCTCTGCACAGGCTGCAAGTCAACTGCTGAGTCATCACTCTAGCCCAAGGATTCTTGTTGATTTTTTTTTTTTTAATTTTTCCAGGCAGGGTTTCTCTGTAGTTTTGTAGTAGGAATCCACATACAAAATTTTGTATCTAATTTCAAGGGAGTGCCTATAAATTCTTAGGTTTAATACCTGTTTATGAATTCTTAGGTTTAATACCTGTTTAAGAAACTCTGCCCATGGCGCACGCCTTTAATCCCAGCACTGGGGAGGCAGAGGCAGGCGGATCTCTGTAAGTTCGAGACCAGCCTGGACTACCAAGCAAGTTCCAGGACAGCCTCCAAAGCCACAGAGAAACCCTGTCTCGAAAAACCAAAAAAAAAAAAAAAGCAAAAAAACAAAACAAAAAACAACTCTGCCCTGAGGGATTTTGGTTATCTCCAGATTTGTCAAGTATGATTTTCAAAATTTACTTTGTTGAATATCTACTAGTCATCCTTTTCAAGGGTCTGACGATCTAGGTAGATCAGACTGGCTTTGACTAATTCATAGTAGTCCTTTGTCTCCATTGCCAGACTGCTACTGTGCCCAGTTCACGTTTGCTCTTACAGCAATGATACAGACTGGGCCTTCCTTTTTTCCTTCTTTCATAAGCTACACCACCATGTTCTAGGTGCTATAACATCTCATATTCATTCAACCTTTAAAAATCTAGTCATTTCCTGCAAATCCCTAACTAAGCATAGCAAAAGCTCAAACAAGTTCAAGTTATACAGATTTAAGTTTATGTAATATGACAAATTTCTCATTCTGCTCTGATGAATCTAAAACTCAGCACATAGGTTTTGGTACACAATAGATTCTAATTAAATACATGCTATCATCAAAGCCATCATTACTATGCAGTGACATCCTTCCTTTCCCCCCAGAGAGAGGCAACTTTCCCACACTCTTATCAAAAAGAAATGGGAAAATCAAGCCACCTGAGCTCCCTTAAGTTACAAGAATGTTAAAGTCATGGCATAATTACCGGTAAGGTTCATATTCTTCAATTAGAAATTGTTAGTTAGAGCTGAATGGCAATCTAAAAGATTAATAATTCTTGAAATGAAATATTTAATGTTAAAGGTTTACTTTCTAATTTTCACTTTTTATGTTAATGTATGTCTCATTACCTCAGTTTGCTGCTGAACCCAGGGCATGGCACATGTTAGACAAGTGTTCTACCACTGAGTTACAGTCCCGGCCCTTGGTATTTTGAGACAGAGCATCATCATGTATCTCAATCCTTTTGTCTCTCCTGAGTGCCTAATCCAATGTTTTATTCTTAAAAACATCATTTTTAAAATCTCAAATAAACTTAGGGGAAAAGCAAATACTACTGTTCTGCTAAGAAGAAGTTAGCAATAAAATGATTCTTAACACATCCTGCTGCACTCATAGACCACTGCCTTGCTCAGACAGCATCAGGGAGGTTTCCTCC